GGGAGGGAAGCTGACGTACTTTATTTATTTTTTACTGCTCCAGGGTCCAATTCTTAGAAGTCCAGAGGATACATAAAATATCTATTCAATGGTCATCATCAAAAAGTTGACAAATAAGCTCAGGAGAGGGTGTGGGGAAAAGGAACCCTCGCACACCATTGGTGGGAATGTAAATTGGTGCAGTCACTATGGAGAACAGTACAGAGGTTCCTTAAAAAACTAAGAATAGAGTTACCATATGATCCAGCAACCCCACTCCTGGGCATATATCCAGAGAAAACTCTAATTGGAAAAGATACATGCACCCCAATGTTCATAGCAGCACTATTTATAATAGACAAAACATGGCAACAACCTAAATGTCCATTAACAGATGATTGGATAAAGAAGTTGTGGTCGATATATGCAGTGGACAACTACTCAGCCATAAAAAAGAATGAAATAATGCCATTTGCAGCAACATGGATGGACCTAGAGATTATCATACTAAGTGAAGTAAGTCAGACACAGAAAGACAAATATCGTATGATATAGCTTATATGTAGAATCTAAAAAATAATGATACAAGTGAATTTATTTATAAAACATAAAGGCTCACAGACATAGAAAACAAACCTGTGGTTACCAAAGGGAAAAGAGGGGAGGGGGATAAATTAGGAGTTTGGGATTAACATATATAAAATAGATAACCAACAAGAGTCTACTGTATAGCACAGAGAGCTATATTCAATGTCTTGTAATAACCTATAATAGAAAAGAACCTGAAAAAGAATAGTTTTATAGATGTATGTGTGTAACTGAACCACTTTGCTGTACATCTGAAACTAACAACATTGTAGATCACTATACTTCAATTAAAAAATGTTTATTCAGTACATAGAAGAATTATCAAATAGTTGCAACTGTACTTGGTCTGAATGAACTGCCTTTATAGATAAGCCTGACAATTGGTGAGATTCAGGAATTACAGAATCTGCCTGAGTAGTTGTGACTCTGTGTTTTAGAATCAAATCAAGGCTGATATTCCAGGATTTGGCACAGATTAAACCCACCATAGCCCATACTCCACATATCCACAGGAAGAGAATGTTTTAGGTAGAAAGATACTTTATTTATGGAATCTGCAATGTCTTTGCATCTATGTATTTTAAATATCCAATTGTTGCCTATAATAGAATTAAGAAAGGAACAGAAGAAAAACTGTTACAACAATAAGTGGAGAGGAAATGATGGAGCAGGGGAGGATGAAGGACAGGCTGTCCAGAGGGAACAGAAAGAGGTGTTGTAGCTGAGAAAATAAGAGAGAAAATTTCTTTTCCACATGTCAAAAATTTCATCCCATTTTGTCAATTATATTCTTTTCTCTTCTACTGGAAGAAATTTAGGATGATTCAATGTTTTCTTATGTCATTTAATATAAGATTTACTTACTCATGGAAACCTCCATTCTTTGTGCAGCATTTTCATTGTCAAAACTCCTCAACAATAACAACCACGAGAATGCCTATAATTTGCTCTTTACAGAGCAACCAAGATGAAAGAATAATTTACTTCAGGAATTCAGTGTCAAGCACATTGACATTACACACACAAACACACACACACACACTCAAATGGCGTCATCAACCATGTGCTCAGCCA